TCAATTCTGTAACAGCCAAGACCAGGTCATCATCAGGCTGAATTCAGGAAAAAAAACTTCATTCAGGTCTCCTGCTTGGGTGGCAAGAGCACAGCTACTTGCACCATTACTGTGCTCTCACGATGTGTGCATTAGTAGAGAGCTGGAATTGAGAGTGGCAGCCAGAACGGGAAGCTAGGGCATCTTAACCACTAAGTCCAAAGTATGCTCTTAACTGTGGCCATTCAGCAAGCACCTAAGAAGTGTCTGGTGCGTGGCAGAGGAGGTTAAGAATTTTGCCATAGCCACACAGCAACAGAGCTGGAATACAATTATTTTATTTTATTTATTTATTTATTATTGGAAAGGCGGATATACAGAGAGATGAGACAGAGAGGAAGATCTTCCGTCCAATGATTCACTCCCCAGGCGGCCGCAATGATTGGAGCTGAGCCAATCCGAAGCCAGGAGCTTCTTCCAGGTCTCCCATGTGGGTGCAGGGTCCCAAAGCTTTGGGCCATCCTCGACTGCTTTCCCGGGCCACAGGCAGGGAGCTGGAAGGGAAGCGGGGCTACCAGGATTAGAACCGGCGCCCATATGGGATCCGGGGTGTGCAAGGCGAGGACCTTAACCACTGTGCCATCGCGCCGGGACCAATACAATTATTTTATAACTTCATCTTTTCAATGAGCTTTTCCAAGTATCCTCATAAAATTCACTACACCAAACACTTCCCTCATGTTTGCAAACTACATATTTCAGAATTAACAGGGTAGGATAAAACTAAATCTAGAACAAAAATAGAGGTAACACGTACTGCACATCGATTTTATGAGAGGGAAAACTCAATTACATGCTGTTAAAGATATTTATTTAGCCATTGTTTGATTACAGACATCCAAAGGAAGGAAATCAAAGCCTCATTTCATAAGACAGGTACAGGAGAGACAAGCTCTTCTTTAGCAGTCACAGAATCCTTAGAAACACGGAATCATGATACAATACCATCAGTGACATTGATGACACATTGTAATAACACATATCAGCCAAGTAGAGTGTTAAATTTATAGACACAGCACACATCACAAAGCAGTGAAATGGGACTGCACTATTTGGTTATAATTGTATGAGCAAGCATTTGCTAGTACACTAAACTTGCAGTGTGATTTGTGAAACATCCAGAGGTTTTTGTTGTTGGACCAGACAGCTGTTTTGGCTTAGAGATTTAACCATGGGGCATCTTTCAAACCATTCCTCTCTGAAGTTTTCCCTGTGAATAGGGGAAAGAGGACTTCTGGACAGAAGGATGGGAGCATTTTGGTGCAGCTTTTTGAGTATTTACAGGAGATATGCTCTTGGAGGACTCTATCAGTTTGCCAGTGTTGAGAGTACTTGGCAAGCCCTTGATTAGAGGGATGTACAGTGTCAGAACCAACCATGAACTGAGGTTCCAGCAAAATGTGCAGCCATTAGAAGGGGTGTAGACACAGCAGCAGTTGCATTTTTAAAATGATGGTAGTTCTCTTAGACCAAATAGGTAGCCTGTTACGTGCTGCAAGGTCTGAGATACAAGGACAAGCATAGAAGCAAGTGGGGGAGGGGAAGGGTGAACTTTTCCCTTCCCCTGCTTCTCATTTAGTTTATTAACAAGAGTGAACGTGACCGGATTTCCTTTAATGTGAAAAAAAAAAAAACCAAGTAACATGAGCTTGAAGAATCAGCATCTGTCATTGGTGTGTGTGACTGAGTGTGACTATCACTTTATGCATTGTATAAAACGGTTTGTTATCAATTCACTGAATTAACTTTTGTCACTAATCACCTAAGTCACATGCTGGCTATAATGCAATTAAAATTGCAAAGAAATTTTAGGAGAAATATTAGACAATGAACCATATTAGTTATGGTTTATCTTCCAATGACGTCTTGTTTATACCAGGTGCATTCAGAGCAGAAAACTCTAGTCTATTCACTTAGACATTGTAAGAAGAAAATTTGATATATGTAAATATGTAATGTCACATTTTAAAGATGCCATCACTTTTTTTTTAAGATAAGAGTGTTTTCAGGCACCAGTCTTGCAAAAATATCTCACAGTTTTGATTTTCCATGTTAATATTCAAGTATATGGATCAATGGAAAAGAATAAAATAGCTAAAAATATTAAACAAGGGCTATAAATTATAATATTTTCAGATTTTAATAAAAGCATTCACATGAAAAAATGGAATTCTAATTCATATCACATCTCAACAACATTCATTGCAAGGAAAAGTTGCTATATGGTTTTCAACATGCTTTCAGGCGTTAGAAGGGTTTCTCAAACGCACGACTTCCAAACTTTGGAATAACTCATGACAGTGAACATTTTCTTTAAAGCCATTGTGAAAAGTTGTACTTCCTATAGTGAGAAGGTTTTGATCCTCACTTTGACACACAGTGTAAGGTGTGCTAATGTAGTCCTTAGCCAGGATAACAGAAACACAGAAATTAAAAAGAAATCAATTCCTTTGCTTTCCGGACATTAGCGAAAAATGCTGTGCAAACATCAACTGTGTCTACGACTTTGTTTTGCACAGACAATGGTCATTTCTAGTTTATTCTGGTCCAGTTCACCGCAGTCCGGTGGTAAGATCAGCCCTTTGAAATGTCAGGGAGCAACTGCGGATGTTGACTTCACAGTTTTGGAGTAGCATCTACCTACTGTAACCTAACACATAATTTTATCCATATGGATAAAATCCGTAGCTTTTGAACCACTATCAGGCACAGAGGAAACACTTGTGAAGTAACAGATTTCTAGAAACAGTTTCCCTCAGTGTAAGTTCTTTTCCCTGAGTCTTAAACAATGTGTGGAGTATGAGAATATAAGGAAGGCACAAACTATGAAAAGTCAATGGTATAGGATGACAGACTCAAGATCCCTTTCCCTAACACATCCTTTGAGATTCCGGAATAACCAGCGAAAGACAGTGATGGCATACTGACAGTACAGGCATAAGAAAAATCGACCCTACAGGTGAGTTGAGACTGACACATGAACTGTAGGAGATGGGTACAGTGGACTAGATTATGCCACAAATTTCAAGTTGGCTTGTTTTTCTCCAGATCTATCAGTTGTTTTACGGAGGTCAAGTTCTTCATTTTGGCTTGTTTCTTCTCAAATGGACTGTATCCCTAAGGCTTCAGAAAACTGAGATACTTCTGTAGATTTGCTGTGCACTACTTAGGATAATAATTCTTCGTGTGCTAAAAAGGATGTCATGGATCTAAATGAATCAATACACCCTTACAAAATTTTCAAGTACTCCTAAGAACTAGGTGACAATCAGCTTGCTAAAGTTCTGCATTTTGATGGTACAATTTTAATGTCAAGAGGAATTTCAGAAGTATTTCTCTAGAGAAATAATTTGAATTATGATCACATTCTGACTTTTCCAAAATGGGTAATTCTTTCGGCATGTTAATAGTTCCTTTTGATGAGAAAAACCATGGTGATGATTTTCTTAAATGCCCCAGTCAGTTTTATAGTTGAGTCAGTGACTTCACGCTGGAACTTCTTGCATGATTTTGTAGTGCACAGAATTATGAAGAAATTATTTTAAGATGCTATACCTAATGTTTATGGCATTGACTGTATATGAAACAATGTCTATATGAAAGAAAGCATTAACTTTAAAACCAAAATATACAGTGTTTGGTAGGAGGCATATATTCATTCATAATTATGATTAAGAGACAGACTGGAAATCCCTGTACCATATCAGATAAGCAGTGAAACGTGAACACCTTAAGAAAGTTAGGGGATGGGCATTTTGAAATAAATGATTAAATGGTTTATAAAAAGATTTGAGTATCAATCAGCAGTAATTTTTGGAGGATTCTGTGTTTTTTTTTTTCCTAGAGCCTCTCTTTATGATTGGAAAACTGATTTTATTTCCATTAAGCTTCCTGTAAGCTTATCTAAATCAGCAATAAATTATTCTCTTATTCACAAAAAATCCTTATGATTAGATTAAGAATTCTTATTAAGCCAGATATGAAAATTTAAGATTGAGCAATTTTTATGAAGTTTCATTTTTTGAATGCTAGCACATACAGTTCACCTGAATCTAAAAACGTATCTTACACATTCCATTCTCTTCCCAGAATGAGACATGGGTATTTCAGCATGATTTTTTAGGCTCCATCACTAAAACTATACTATGCTAATTCAGTACAAAAGATTTCAGGGAATGGGTGTGTATTTTTAAAGAATTCATATTAAGATTCAACACAATTCTGCAGATGATCTAGAGCTCGACTGTTGAATACACTGATCAGTGAGCCACATTTGACAACCGAGAAGTTGAAGTGTGACCTGTGTGATTCAGAAACTGAATTTACAATTTAAAGTTTAGACACACGTGCAGTCATTTAAATTATTGAACCATTTTAAGCCTGTTTAGATAACTTGGATTGTCACATCTACTTTTTCATCTGTAAATTTTATAAAATATAAAGGTACTGAAGATTACTGATTGAGATGGACAGCAGATATAAGCCAAAGCTGGATCGCAACAATTCAGTGTGAAAAAGAGTTTAAATTCCTCATTTTTATATTTTATATTGGTGATTTACATACCTTGCATTGCATTTATCTTGGATAACATCGTTCTAGAGTTTTATTAAAACTGTTAGTTTCTAAAGGTCATATTTTGAATTTTTATTTTAACGTAATTCTTCCAATCAAGTAATTTTGATTATTATGCATAAGTAAATCAGATGTAATATTTACCCATCAACAAGTGCTCACATTGCCCATTTTCCATCTCTTCTTTCTCTGAATTGCAAAACCCTCACCAGCGCCCACAGCAGAACACAGAATCATGGGCAGTGAGTACACAGGCAGAGTCTATGAGAGCACTGGTGAGTGTGCCATCTGTCCCCCCACCCCAGTTGTTTCCAGATCTATGTGTCCCAAATTCCAAAATAACCTTCCGATTCCTCCAAACATCTGCTGTGCTATGGCTTCCAGTTGAGAACAATAAGCGATGACTGCTTAAGCTCAGTCCGGTCATGTATTAATGCTGGATTTTGTCCAGGCCCGAGAACTTTCATCCTTCATGGTGGAGAGCTTCCTCTGGGAGAAGGGCTCAAATCCCAGAAGTTTGAACACCGCTACCCGGTACTTCCTGGACATGATGTTGTACAGAATGGGGTTGATTGCCGCACTGAGGTAGAAGAGGACGAAAGACACGAGGTTGCAGTACTGGCTGATCTGAGCAATTTCCAGTGAGCCAGGCTCAAAGGATTTGGAAAATAAGTATCGCCCTACGTGGAAGGGCAGCCAGCAGAGAATGAAAGCGAACACCACGACAGCTGGAAGGACAATGGAAGAGAGAAGTCCAGTTAAAGAAATGTTGCAGTGTAAACCCTTCTACGATGGGCTCTGACTATGCCCTACAGCCTGCCTGTTGACATTAGAAACACATTGTTCTGCTCTTCCCCATGCATGAATTTTAACCAAAACTGAGACTATCCAGGCAACCGTTCACGATATTTCAAAAACTGGTTTTCCAGTCATTTCTACTTAATGAGTATTTGAGTGACTTTGTGCTTTAGTTGACATATTGACTTAACAAGTTTTTCACAATAACAATCCACTGTTTTTTATGTCTAGACACAACACACACATACATGAGGTATACATGTATCTCTATCAGTTTTCTGGAGAAGTTTTCTTTTAAATTAAAAAAAAAAATCCCTGGATATGATACATGCTCACTAAATTAAAAATCTATGGAAGGCACCAGAGCACCTGCTGTTTATTTTCTTTGTTTTCTTTTGAAATTTCACAAATTACTGATTAGTCATTATGCTACAGAAGTGGAGAGCTTTATGCCACCTACAACAGGCATTAAACCAACTGACATTAACTATTATCTGGCTCATTTAGGAAAACTTTTCAACAAAATCTCAACTTTCAGGTTTGATTGAGTTTTTAAGCTTCAGAAACCAAAATGAAAAGGACAGAAAATAGTGTTTTTAGTCTTGTACCATTTTGTTGATTCCTTCCCATTGGCTAAGTCAGAAAAACAACATTAGAAATGAGATACCAGTGGGGAAAATTAAATAGCTAGAAATAAAATTGAGAGAAATTATTAACTGTATTTTAAAAACGAAGCTTCCTAGTGGTAACTTGACCACCATAGTAGCACCGTGATTCTCCAAGGTGAAAGTTAAAGTACCTTGAAGACCATCAGCAGGGTCATAGTCTTTAAGGGATGTGGGAAAACGGGCACTCCTCTAGATAAGAAAACCTGACATTCCTTGAATGAACTCCATCACTTTAACAGGCAGGGTCCAGGAACTATAAAATTGTAAATATGAAATTATCCCAGTAAGATTTCTAAAAAAAAAAAAAACACACACAACCAAATGTGACAATAAATATGAAGTGATAACTGAACTGTGCCAATTAGAAAACATACTTTTGTTTTCAGAAAAGTGAATAAAGTCGGTATTTTCCTAGAATGCGAGCACATTTTGTGTTAGTTCATGTACACTACACACATATCTTTCCAGAAATGTGTGAATTCACTGCGGCTGTGACGCTGTCCCCTGAGTGGCCCCACGGGGAGGGAGTGCTTCCTTCTGCCATCTCCTGCATGTCTCCTTTCTCCCTGTTAGAGCCCTGTCTGTTCTAGCCCATCGTACTTTATCCTATGTAGTCTTTGCGACCTTGCAGACAGAAGAAACAAACCTGAAAACAAACAAAACAGAGACCTCAGCACCGATTGCCACTGAACCTTGGCAAACTGTGTTATAAACGGTCACAGGGTAAAGAAAATTATGTGATTATCTGTAAAAACGCAGACCGGCAATGAATTACAGTATTGCAGAAAAAGGAATCAACTCTAATAGAATTATTCAAATTGATTGTGCCTGTGGATAATGACTTTCTCACTGACTACCTTCGGGATCCAATACCTGCGCTTCCTCCTAAGTTTAATAGCCCCACACACTCAAAGAAGGAAAATTAACCACACTTTTACCACACCAGATTCTTGTGAAATAGCCCAGATTTGTGGCAAGTTTTGAACTGGTAGAAAATTCAGATTGGGGGAATATAAGGTGAGACGCTCTTTTATGGAAGTGAGAAAGGTAAGACCAAGAGACAAAAGGGGAGGGTGAGGGGAGAGGAGGAGGGAAGAGATGGAGGCGGGAGAATGGGTAGGTGGGAGTGTGTGGGGGCAGAGTATGAAAAGAGACTCAGAGATCAAAAACAAACAAGCAAGCAGATAAACAAGCAAGGACAGGGAAATGGAGATAGACACCCAGGAGGAAGGCAGAGGGAGGAAAGCCCCGGGGGCGCTCAGAGACGCACCCAGCATTTTCACGGTTTGCCTGTGGTTCTGGTCCCTGAGCGACGAGCCCACCGCTCCGTCGCAGCGCTTCCTTCGCCACAGCTTCCTGCCGATGAGGCTGTAGAGGACAGTGAGGCAGAAGACAGGCAGGAAGAAGAAGACGCTGGACACCCACACCATGACTGTGAGCAGTCCCGAGCGCACCGCGAACTCGGTGGCGCGGCACTCGTTGGTGTCCCGAGGGTCTGTGCCGTTCTCGTGCTCCACGCCGACCAGCACGAAGATGGGCCCGGCGCTGCAGAAGGCCAAGGCCCAGATGACCAGGATGACCAGCTTCACGCGGCCCTTAGTGACCACCACCTTGGCCCGCAGCGGGAAGCAGATGGCGAAGTAGCGCTCGACGCTGAGCGCGGTGATGGTGAGCACCGTGGCATAGGTGCAACTCTCGCTGACGAACTGGAAGAGTTTGCAGAGCAAGTCGCCGAAGTTCCAGGGCCGGTACTGCCAAAGGCGCACGAGGTCGAGGGGCATGCAGAGGAAGATGAGCAGGTCGGAGAAGGCCATGCTGGACAGGTAGAGATTGGTGGTGGTGCGCAGCTCGCGGAAGCGCGACACCACCAGCATCGTGAGCAGATTGCCCGCGATGCCCACCACGAAGAGCGCCACGCAGGTGGCTGTGACGCCGGCCAGCAGCGGTGCGGGGAAGAGTGGCAGCAGCTCATCAACCAGCGAGTCGTTGTCTGGGGGCGAGTCCCAGCCCAGCTCGGTCCGCGTGAGGTTGGACCCCAGCTCTTCGCTAGGCGTCGCGTTCCACATGCCGCAGGCTCAACCCCGCTGTCTCTGGGACGCAAAGGCAGGCTGGACAGAGCTCGTCTCCAAGGAGGTCTTTTTAGGCTCGGGAGAATGAGAGGCGGGAGCGGCTGAGGCGCGCAACGAGGAGGATGCTGAGGGAGTAAAGAGAAGGATACTAATGAGAGAAGCCACAACCAGGGAGAAAAGGAGAGAAGGGAAGTTGGGAGCGGGGATAGGGAGAGAGAGAGACTGCTGCTCTCCTTGGCACCTCCTCTTTAGCCCCGCCACCATCTCTCATAAAGTGGCTCTCCCAACCCAGCCTCCCGCCCTACCCGCGCCCACACGCGCACCTGTCACCCGAGCAGTACAGCTAGCCCGGTCTTGCTTGCATACTCACGCCCTTGCTCCATCTCACACTCCGCAAGCACCGCAGCCCTTGCGTTACGCAGAGAAGAGGCTTAGCGAACACGGAGCGTGTTTGAGCGCTCTTTCTGGCCCTGTGCGCTAGTATACCCTGGAGCACCAGTTTCACAGCTACAGGCGGAGGCGAGTGGGGGTGGAGGGGAGAACGGTGGAGGCGGAGTCAGGGACACCTTAGCAGCTGGGTCCTGAGGTCCTTTTCTACAAGAGCTAGCGTGAATCATGAAGCTAGTGGGGGAGAAAAAGTGACAGTGCCCACCTCAACTTGGGTAAGCAGTAAGGAGTTTGTATTGGTACCGGAGAGGAAACTGGCATGTACCTGGCTAGTTTTTGGCTGTCCAAGAAGACGAGGATCAATCAGCAGGGGCAGACACGCGAACACTTGTTCAAGGTCACATGGCAGGTTGTTTTGGACTACCTATAGTGTAGGGGTAAGTTGTGGATAGATGCTGCCCTGAATCAGGCCTTTATGCACTCTGCAGGCATCACTTTTGCCTAGTGTACAATGACTCGTGTGTGTGTGTGTGTGTGTGTGTGTGTGTGTGTGTGTAGGGAGAGAGAACGAGATTGAGTAAAACTAGAAAGAGGATGGAGCAGGCAAGTGGAAGAGGGCCAGGTTGGAAGGCTGTGAATGCACAGTATATATTCTTTGAGACAAGCTGAAGGGAACTCCTGCAGCTAAAACCTGTATCCCTTTGGGCAAAATATTTTGGGTTCTTTCAATTGTGAGAATGTAGCAAGTGGAACCACTTGGAGTGGATGTAAGGTCAGACACGCAACAGTCATTCAAGCCACAAATTCTGCTTTACTGTTCCTCAGGTTGTTCTTGAGGAGTGGGGGAATGGGTCCTAAGCAGCCTCTAAAGTCACAAGGGACTCCCCATGTGCATCCTAGAGCCACATATCTACTACCAAGACAAAGGCTGTTGACTGCACCCCAACTCACACAACCGCTGGTTTTGTCAGATCCAAAGACCCGAGCGTGTTCAGCACCGCGGCCAGCGTCCTGCCCAGCGCAGCCCTGTGCCTCGCAGCAGACACCTTTTACAGCTTGCCCCTCTGAGCCTCAGCACAGCCCCACAGGGAGCTGGAAGACTCCCCTAGGAAGAGCAAATCGCCTTGAGTCACTGCCTTGACCCTTCTTGTCCTTGCTCACCTTCCCGGGCTTAAATAAGAAGCCAGGTACTATTAAAACCTTGTGTTGGTTCTGCTTTGTTAAAGGCAGCAGTTCGTTCTTAGAATCCACAAAGTCGGCGGGGAGGGCATTTGGCCTAGAGGTTAATTCTTGGTGTGTCGGCCTGCATTCCAGAGCAGAGTGCCTGATTCCAGTTTCCCTCCAATGCCCGCCCTACAAGGCGGCAGGTGTTATATCAGGAGTTTGTGGGAGAATTAAATTGAATTCCCAGCTTCTGGCGGTGCTGGCCCAGTCCTAACAATTTTACAGACATTGGAAAAGTAAACAGGCAGTTAGGAGTGCTGGGGTTCTCACTGCCTCTCAAAAACAAACAAACAAACAAACAAACACAAAACCAAAAGACCCCCACAGACCTTAGGTTGGATGTATATGCATGTGCATGAAATAGCCCATGCAGTAACAGATTACAGGATCGAATCGGAACCGACGGAAGCAAACTGGCTTCCTAAAATCTTTATTTTAAGCTACCGTTCAAAAATATTACAAGTACGTTAAAACACACACACACACACACACACACACGAAAAACAAAAACAAACCAAAACCCCAGTTGGTAGTAAGTTATTCTTTAAAAATGCGCTCATTTGATTTTAATATTTTATATCCTATAATATCAGTAGCCTTATGCTTCTGGACAGAAGGAGGAAGACAATAGACTGGAGTCAGTCAAAATAATACATGAACATATTGTCCAAGAAAAAGAACAGGGGAGGCTGTTGGATATGTTTCTACTGTACTGAACACTAAAGAAGGAAAAGTGGGGGAAAGTACTGAAAACTATTGCTATGAGTTTTTGTCACACTGGCTTTGTCTAATACAGCCAGCTGTTTGAGCTTAACTGTTTTCTAGAATGTAGACAATCTGCTTTACATGATCAAGGAGAAACAGAATGCAGCGCTGAGATCGTGATCTGTTTATGGACAATAAAAAGCAAAATTGTGTAATATCTAAGGCTGTCTTTAAAGATATGGTAGGCACTGGGAATAAAACAATGAATAAAACCCAGACTGTTCCTGTACATATTCTTTCTGCTTCTCCCTCTCTCCCTTTCAAATAATTTTTTTAAAAAAATTAACATTACCACTGTGATATCATGAGGAAAATACAATGTCACATAGTACTCAAGCAAAGGATGCATAACTTTCATCTAATCACAAGGAAATGTCAGACAAGCTCAACAAGAGCAAGCCTACCTGAAACTCTTTTCTAAAAAAGTTAATGCTTTATAACAGGAAACTGAAGGAACGTTCCAGACTGAAGGGGACCAAAGAGAAAACCACTTAAATGTACATCCTGATCGTAGCACACGTCCTAACTTGGAGGGGGATATTACTTTATGAACATTGTTGGGTTTGTTGATACATTCAGAATATGGAGAGTGGATTACAAACAATGAAATCAGTGTTGATTGTTGGAGTTGGTCATTGTATGAAGGAAGTTTTGCTTCTGTAAATGCACACTCAACTATGATTTACAAAAGTACTCTCAGTCATTTCTGAAAAAATCATGTGTGTAGATAAATAGAGCGAAAAATAAATGAAGTAAAACATTGATAATAGATGAAACTTGAAAAATGATTTATTTTATACCATTTCTGAAACTTTTCTGCAGTTGTGAACTATTTTAAAATAAAAATTCTAAGTTAAGTTTATATAGATACTTATGCTTTTAATTGCATTTAATATTTACACAAAGCATCATGATTCCTAACTTATACATATTTATTCCATAGTACACATTACATTATTTCAGTCTAACTTCAGCATTATCATTACTAATAAAATTGGAAAATGAAGTTTGAAATTTTCTTATCGCTCTGTGTAGTTCATAAAATATACCTCATGAAGTGTGACTATTGAGTGCTAAGATAATGACTTCCTGTGTCTGATGATGTTGCCAATTTTAGCTATGAATCATTTGTGTAAGAACCACTCTGTTGTAAGAAATATTTTAGGTTTAACTTTATTTATGAATATATAAACCATTCACGTGATTTGGTAGCTAAAACTTGAAAGTAAAATACATTTAGGAAAACACTACTCTCTATATATTCTACTCAAAAAAATATAATTTTACAATTTTAATGCCTTAATCCACCTGACCTGTGCATGTTTTCCTTTTTGTGTGTTTGTGATTTTTGTAAAAGATAATAGACTATCCACACTATTCTCTATGTCTCCTTTTTAGCTTAAAATTATATATTGTGGGGCCTGTGTGGCAGGATAGTAAGCTCCACCTACAAGCTCCAGTATCCCATATGGGAACTGGTTCCTGATCCAGCTGCTACACGTCCAATCTAACTCCCTCCTTACTGCCTGGGAAAGCAGCAAAGATGGTTTAACTACTTGAGCTTCTGCACTGGCATGGTAGATCCAGAAGAAACTCCTAGACCCTCACTTCCAATTGGCTCAACTTTTGCTATCATGGCCATTTGGGTAGTAAACCAGTGGAAGGAAGATTTCTTTCTCTCTCTGTAAATCTGTGCTTCAAATAAAAATAATAACTATGCTAAACAACCATCTTGTGATTCTCTCATACCAAGATTCTTTTTTTTAAAAAAATTGCTCTAATGTATTCAATCTAGAAAAACTTGCATATCTTTTTATTATGGGTATGTACTTCAATTTCATTAAATTGATTATTGTTGATGGATGCTTCTGGGCTATAATACTTTTATAAATAAACCTGCATATATTATTTTATATATTAGTAAGTATATAATAAAATAATATGAAACAAAGCTACATTCTAATAGAAGAATAAATGGCACATAGCAACATATAATTTGTTGAATGGCACAAATAAAACATTAAGAGGTGGTACATATCACTTAAGTATTAAGTCTGGGTTCTGAAAAATATATCAGACAGTGTACAACTGCATATTTAAGTCTTAGAAGTGGGATTGCTTCATTATAGATTGATAGAAAGCACCTGTAGTTTGGGGGTTGCTTTCGTGACAAAGTAGGCTAATTTCTTCCTGTAGTGCCAACATCTCGTGTGGGTTCCTGTTTGTGTGCCAGCTGCTCTTTGCATTCAGTGCCCTGCTATTGACCTGGGAAAGTAGTGGCCGATAGCTCAAGTCTTTAGGCCCCTGCACCCATACAGAAGACCAGTAGTAAGCTCCTGGCTTGAGATTGGCTCAGGTCCTGCCGTTGCAGGGAGGGAACCAGTGGTTGCAAGATTCTTTCTCTCTAACTCTTTCAAATAAAAATAACAAAATAAATAATTTTTTAAAAATTTGCTGCAATTTTGCCATAAGTTTGTTATAAATGTGGTTATCACATTTCTCTCCATGGTGTTGCATCAAGTTGTATTTCCTACTAGCAATGAATTAAAAGACATTACTTCTCCCATCTCAACAATGTTATCTTTTTTTGGATTTTAGCAAATTTGTTAGATGACAAATGACTTTTAAGTGATTCTAATTTGCATTCTTCTAACTTAAGCGAGACAAAGCGCCTTTCCGTGTTTAGGTGTC